GAGAAATGTGGGATCAACATATAAATCAAGTATAAAAATCAAATGAATATTCATATTTGACCTGATTGTTTATAGTTCATAATGCGTGATCAAAACCGAAAGTTTCTGTGATGAATGCCCTTGTACTGTTCACCATGTAAGAACTTACTCACTATGTAAGAATTCATTCACCATGTTAGAACTTGTTCGTTATGCTTCAGAAGACTGGAGACTGACGAGAATTAGGCTTGAGATGGATTAATGATTGTGCATTGAGCATTGACCCCCCATACAGAATTTTATTGTTGTTAACAACCATTTGATCAATAAATATGAGAGATGCCCTCTCAAAAAAAAAAAAAAAACATCTAAATAAACTTCATAAAACAGTACTTGTCCTTACTATGTTCAATGTACTGTTCTATTCCTTTGCATTAAAAAATGTTGGTTAAGGCCACTAAATTGATTTCATGATTCATGAAAGGACTGCTTCCTGAAAGGTGAAAAACACTGAGGTACACTATAACTACTAGTATTAACAACATTTTAGCAGAATAAAAACCAAAAGAAAACAAACTACATTATAGTTATACATAAGTGACATTTTCATATAAAAAAGTGAGTCTGCATCAGGAATTTACTGAGAGTGCTGAGTTGGAATCATTGAATGTATGAGTGAATATGTATTTAGATCTCAAAAAACGCAGGAAATCCACCCTCCTCATTTTACAGACCAGGAAACTTACCCATGGTTTATGCCCCTTAAAGGCAAAAACTTTGAGTAGATAGCTTAACTATAGTTTTTAAGATTACAGTAAGTCCTGCTATCCATGTAGGAAAATGCCTATGACAGGGCTGAGGTATATATACCACTGCAGTGCACAAGCAAGGGGAACTTGGACATTTTTGAACCTCATAAAACCAATTCTTAGTTTTCTCCTTGGTATTGTTGAAAATTCAGTTAATTGAAGATCGCTAAAATAGTTTTTTATTTATTATAGTATCATTGACATACAATCTTATGAAGGTTTCACAATAACATTCTGGTTTCAACATTTACTCATATTATCAAGTCCTCACCCACCACTGCAGTCACTGCCTATCAACATAGTAAGACGCTATACAGAGAGGCATTACTTGTCTTCCCCATGCTGTACTGTCTTCCCCATGACCTACCTATATTGTGATAGCTAATTATAATGCCCCTTAATCCCCTTCTCCCTCCCTCCCCACCCACCCTTCCTAACCCCTTCCCTTTGGTAACCACTAGTCCCTTCTTGGAGTCTCTGAGTCTGCTGTTGTTTTGTTATTTTAGTTTTACTTTGCTGTTACACTCCACAAATGAGTGAAATGATTTGGTACTTGTGTCTTTCTCCACATGGCTTATTTCACTGAGCATAATACCCTCTAGCTCCATCCATGTTGTTGTAAATGGCAGGATTTCTCTTCTTTCTATGACTGAATAATTTTCCATTGTGTATATGTACCACATCTTCTCTATCCATTCATCTACTGATACACACTTATGTTGCTTCCATAGAAAATCTCTAAAATTGTATGATGACATTCTTTTGGGAAGCTTTGGTGGGGGAAGAGATGAGGTTTGGAGGCAGATAATGAATTCTGAAAAGTTACAGTAAACTCTCATTAACTGGGCAGGAGAGAAGGGAATCTCAGACAATCCAAAATCCTGCAGGTCATTGAAATAAGGTACAAAACGAATTTAGCATAAACTTAAAATTCTTGTGCTACAACATTCTCAGCCTCTTGTAACACACTACTTTGCTGTAGCTATCACCTAAAGCTGTCTGTCCCACCTGGCAGCCACCAGCCACAGAGGGCAGCTGGGCACGTGTGACTAGTCCAAATTGTCTGCACTATCACTGTAAAATAATACTGGATTCTGAAGACTTAGTAAGTAGAACAGAATGTAAAACATCTCATTAGCAATTTAAAAACAGATTGCTATTGAAATACTTTGAATGTATTAGGGTAAAGAAAAGATATTATTACAATTAACTTCACCTGTCTTTTTTTCTTTTGGTATCATTAATCTACAATTACATGAGAAACATTATGTTTACTAGGGTTCCCCCTTCACCAAGTCCCCCCAACAAACCCCATTACAGTCACTGTCCATCAGTGTAGTAAGATGCTGTAGAGTCACTACTTGTCTTCTCTGTGTTGCACAGCCCTCCCTGTGCACCCCCGCGACATTATACGTGCTAATCAGAATGCCCCTTTCTTCCCCGCCCCCCCTTATCCCTCCCTTCCCACCCATCCTCCCCAGTTCCTTTCCCTTTGGTAACTGTTAGTCCATTCTTGGGTTCTGTGATTCTACTGCTGTTTTGTTCCTTCAGTTTTTCTTTGTTCTTATACTCCACATATGAGTGAAATAATTTGGTACTTGTCTTTCTCCATGTGGCTTATTTCACTGAGCATAATACCCTCTAGCTCCATCCATGTTGCTGCAAATGGTAGGACTTGTTTTCTTCTTATTCAACTGTCTTTTTTACTTCTAAATTTTTAGATTTAAAATTAAGAAAAAATGGCTTACATAATTCCACTAGACAGCACCAAGAATAAAATTTTCATAATGAAAAGCTTTGTAAAAGGTTATTTACTATTTTATTTTGTAGCTTAGATCTCCCTTTCTTGAAGAGCAATAGACTCGAATTGAGCAAAGAAATGCTACCTTCCCCTCCTTTTCCCAATTCCTCTCCCTCCCAAAGCCCCCTGTGAGACCAAGAGGATGTTGGCACTGGAGCTGAGGCCTCCATATCAGGGCCACATATCTGCTGGTCAGGCTGTGGCAGGCAGCCCTTTTGCAGTAGACCCTCTGCAATATAATGGTCATTCGCCAGTTTGAAATGACAGATTTCTTTGTTGATTTGTGATCATATATAATTTTGTGAACCAAAAACATAACTTTTATTTTGGCCACAATTTATCTGGATACTGGTTATCTGTCACTGATAAAAACATGTTCAGTATATTATGAAACAGAGCAAGTTCATCCTTTTGTTAGCTATTGTAATTTTTCCAATACACACTTATTAACACCCACCCAAAAGAAGCAATCAGAACACTAGAAAAACTTTTCATATATTTTTGCATGATTTACCTCAATGGCAACACTGGTTTCCTTATTTTTAAAAAGTTGGAGCTCTTCTAAACGCTGCTTTTCTTCAGCTGTCAGAACTGTAAATACATCTTCTGAAGGATCCTTTAAAATAATCACAAGAATGCCTAGTGAGTCACACACAGAATTCAAGTCTGTATTTCTATGATCTCTAGGAAGTGCTATTATTACATAGAGGGTGACTTTGCTGGAGAGCTGCTCTTACCTCCTCATCCACAGGGACGGACAAGTCATCCAAATGGATGATTTGTCCATCTTTTCCTATTTCATGAACAACGAAGTCAGAGTATCTGATGAAAAGAAAACACACTTTTAGAACATTAACACTGTATTTCCTATTAATTTTAGGAGAGAGTTTATCAACAGTAAACCTAATGTACTAAACAGGGATTAAGAATAACTTCAGTGCCAAGTCATATGTAGTTATTTTTCCTGGTTTCTTAGTTAATTCTGAGCCATACCTTGGCTTTGTATCAGAATCTAACGAAAAGTCCTCTGAGTTTCTAGCATATTCTTACAGGGAATGTTTAAATCAAAGTTTATCAATGTTATACTGTGGATTTATAGATAATCCATACCAAGGTGAATCATAAAATACAGTAAATGGTTAATGAAATTAGATTCTAGTAAATCTACCATGAGCTACCCTGAAGCTTACCTTCATGCTAAAAACTTTACACACATTATTAAAAATTCCCAATATTCCCCCAAGTGGTAATCATCAACCATTTTTTGGACCAGGATACTGAGGCTCAGAGGAGTTAAACAACCATGAAGTGACTGAACTGGATTCACACTTAGATTCTTCTGGCTCCAGAGAGCTTTCTCCTGTAGACATGGCACACTCAGGTGAAAGAGTTTTAGATTTTAAGACCAAGTCAAGAGAAAACGTGAAACCATTTAAAATGATTTATTTTAAAGAAATGAACAGTACCCTTTCACATATTAACAAGACATCTCACAAGGATAGTATTTTTATCTTTAAATGGTTTCCTTTACTCATTTAGGCAGCTCTCCATCCTATTCCTTTTTGACCATTAGTATAAGCAGTCCTTGGGATAGAAAGCCAAAAGGAAGAACATAATGCTGATTTCTTTGTAAAGAAAGGAACTACAGTAACTAAAATAACTTTCATACATAAACTGAACATACCTTTCTTTTAAGATTCCTGAGAATCCTTGATGAGAGCTTACAAACTTGGTGATGCCTACATCAAGTTCGGTGAGGCCATGCTTCATCATGTCTGCAAAACTCTCAGTTTCTTCCTCCTCCTCCCCCTCCTCTGAAAGGCCATCTTTCTCCTCCTCTTCCTCTTCTTGCAACTGAGCACCAGAATTCTTCATACCCTCTCCGGCGCTTAGAGCTAAAGGTGGCCCAGGCATGCTTACGCTGTGGGGTGAAGAGTCATTCTCTGTCCTGTCTGGCCCTTTGGTCACACAGCATTCAGAGACTTTCTGTCTTTTTGCTTCCTCAGCTGGGGCCACACCATCATCTTCGACAGCAAGGGACCCACGTTTCAGTGACACACCAGTCATTTCAGTCATCTCCATTTTTAAGGTTCCAAGAAAACATATAAGAGAACCTTTTAGGAAGGAAGAAGAGTAAGAAGTAACAGTCACTTCTGAAAAGAAGTGGGTTTCAGCAAACAGAGGCACAGTAACTTTGGTCCTAGTGTCCTAAAAACCATTTGTTTAAATAATTCTCCTGACTATGGTGTAAAGCTTTGGTAACACAGAAACACAGCTAACGCTTATGCATAGAATTTGGCAGTACACATCAAAAACCTGAAAACTATGCCCTCTGGCCCAGAAATACTACTGGGAAGTATTTTAACAAAATAGCTAGAAAAGTGCTTAAAGTTTTAACTGTAAGGATACTCAGCTCATGCTTTTATATAAGGAAATAAGAACAACCCCGACCTTCGGTACATACACTGAACTATAGGTAAAGAGAATCTGAATAGAAATAGGGAAAGATGGTCACTTCTAAGAAAGGGCTTAGGAGGCGGGGGTATCAGGAAGACTTGCTGTTTTTACTAATTATCATTGTTAGCTCATCTGAATTTTTTGCTTCATGCAAATCCTTTTGAAAAGCTGATTAAATAAAAATGGTGTATGAATACATTTACTGACATGAAAGCATACTCATAACAAGGGGAAAGGGGAATTATTTAACAGACACAAAGTTTCAGTTTTGCAAGATGAAAGAGTTCTGCATATTGGTTGCACAACAATGTGAAGGTACTTCATGCTATACTTAAGATGATATTACATGTTATATGTATTTTGCCACAATTTAAAAAACACAGATTATTGGCTTAAAGATGGAGGCATGAGAAGTGACACAGAAGCTTCCTCCCAAAACCACATATAATATGCAAATGTAGCAAACACAACTAATCCTGAAAGAGCAACAGGAAAGAAGGCTGTGGCAGACAGCCTATACCTGGGGAACAGCAGAACTCACAGGAAAAGGGTAAAATACCAAAGCCCTTATCTGGAGGGACCCAAGCCCTTCCCCCACCTCAGGTCACCGATGGGAGGAAGAGAAACAGAATGGGGAGGGTGTGGAGGCCTAGGACTGCTGAACACCCAGCCCTGGAGATCTGCTCTGGGAGCATGAACCTACATTACACGGTGCTCTGGAGATTAGTGGGGTTGGAAAGCTAAGACAGGCAGAATACTTGGAGAGACTGAGATTGCAGCCACTTGTAGAAAACAGGTACCCATGGCCAGCCGCTCAGGGACAAAAGAAAGGTGGGAAGTCTGAGAGATTGCTAACAGTGAGAGGGCTGCTAAAGGGTCAAGGACTGAACAGAGCTTGCTCAGGAAAAAGAACCAGTCAACAAAATTGTCCTGGTGCATTCAACCAAGCTGGTTGGGAACATCAGGTGCTCCATCTTCATCTACAGTTGGCAATGCCAGCTACAAGGCCCCTACTGCAATACACAGCCTGCAGCAACTTCCTCCAGGCCAGCCCCAGGTTGCAGACCGCTGCCCCTGCCACTAAACTAGGCCAGCCACAGGGCAGCCCTGCTTACGGCAGCTACAAGAAGTTCCTCCCTGCGCGCAGAGCCCACGGGCCCTGACAGTGGAGGCAGGGACTACAGCTGGAAAGCAGGTAAGAGCTCTTTCCTCCTAGCAGGCAACAGCATTGCTCGCCAGCAAACCCTGCCACTGCTCCAGGGGCTGAGCAGATCGAGAGAGTAGAGCTTCTGGGCACCAGAGGACGCCACTTACAAATACGAAACATCAAAGAAGCCTGGTTCAAACCAAAATCCCATAAACACCAGAAAGAGGGCCAAGTGAAATGCCTTCTTTAAATATGCGTGGATTGCTATATACTTTCCTCTTAAGACTGCTTTCGCTGCGTCCCACAGAAGTTGGGGCTTTGTGTTGTTGTTGTCATTTGTTTCCATATATTCCTTGATCTCTATTTTAATTTGTTCATTGATCCATTGATTATTTAGGAGCATGTTGTTAAGCCTCCATGTGTTTTGAGCCTTTTTGTTTTCTTTGTACAATTTATTTCTAGTTTTATATCTCTGTGGTCTGAAAAGTAGGTTGGTAGAATTTCAATCTTTTTGAATTTACTGAGGCACTTTTTGTGGCATAGTATGTGGTCTATTCTGGAGAATGTTCCATGTGCACTTGAGAAGAATGTGTATCCTCTTGCTTTTGGATGTAGAGTTCTGTATATGTCTCTTAGGTCCATCTGTTCTAGTGTGTTGTTCAGTGCCTCTGTGTCCTTACTTATTTTCTGTCTGGTGGATCTATCATTTGGAGTGAGTGGCGTGTTGAAGTCTCCTAAAATGAATGCATTGCATTCTATTTACTCCTTTAGTTCTGTTAGTATTTGTTTCACATATGCTGGTGCTCCTGTGTTGGGTGCATATATATTTATAATGGAAAACCAAAAAGGAATCCAGTTTGGTAAAGAAGAAGTTAAACTGTCACTATTTGCAGATGGCATGATATTGTACATAAAAAACCCTAAAGACTACATTTCAAAACTACCAAAACTGATATCAGAATACAGCAAAATTGCAGGATACAAAATTAACACACACAAATCTGTGGCTTTCCTATACACTAACAATGAACTAATAGAAAGAGAAATCAAGAAAACAATTCTATTCACAATTACATCAAAAAGAATAAAATACCTAGGAATAAACCTAACAAAGGAAGGGAAAGACCTATCCCTTCAAAACTAAAGACACTCTTAAGAGAAATTAAAGAGGACACTAACAAATGGAAACTCATACCATGCTCTTGGCTAGGAAGAATCAATATTGTCAAAATGGCCATCCTGCCCAAAGCAATATACAGATTTGATGCAATCCCTATCAAATTACCAACAACATTCTTCAAATAACTGGAACAAATAGTTCAAAAATCCATATGGAAACACCAAAGACCCCAAATAGCCAAAGCAATCCTGAGAAGGAAGAATAAAGTGGGGGGGATCGCACTCCCCAACTTCAAGCTCTACTACAAAGCGATAGTAATCAAGACAATTTGGTACTGGCACAAGAACAGAGCCTCAGAGCAGTGGAGCAGAATAGAGACTCCAGACATTAACCCAAACATATACGGTCAATTAATACACTATAAAGGAGCCATGGACATACAATGGGGAAATGACAGTCTCTTCAACAGATGGTGCTGGCAAAACTGGACAGCTACATGTAAGAGAATGAAACTAGATCACTGTCTAACCCCATATACAAAAGTAAATTAGAAATGGATCAAAGACTTGAATGTTAAGTCATGAAAGCATAAAACTCTTAGAAAAATCATAGGCAGAAATCTCTTGGACATAAACTTGAGCAAATTCTTCATGAACATATCTCCCCGGGCAAGGAAAACAAAAGCAAAAATGAACAAGTGCAACTACATCAAGCTGAAAAGCTTCTGTACAGCAAAGGACACCATCAATAGAACAAAAAAGGTATCCTACAGTATGGGAGACTATATTCGTAAATGACAGATCCGATAAAGGCTTGACAACCAAAATATATAAAGAGCTCACGCACCTCAACAAACAAAAAGCAAATAATTCAATTAAAAAATGGGCAGAGGAGCTGACAGACAGTTCTCTAAAGAAGAAATCCAGATGGCCAACAGACACATGAAAAGATACTCCACATTGCTAGTTATCAAAGAAATGCAAATTAAAACCACAATGAGATATCACCACACACCAGTAAGGATGGCTACCATCCAAAAGACAAACAACAACAAATGTTGGCGAGGTTGTGGAGAAAGGGGAACCCTCCTACACTGCTGGTGGGAATCTAAAAATTAGTTCAGCCATTGTGGAAAGCAACATGGAGTTCTTCAAAATGCTCAAAATAGACATACCATTTGACCCAGGAATTCCAGTTTTAGAAATTTACCCTAAGAATGCAGCAGCCCAGTTTGAAAA